GGCCTCTTGCAACTTGGGGATCTCTCACAATGAGAAATCCCCATGACAAGGATAATAACAAATATGTTGACGTCTATGTTGGGATCCCCCTGTTCATGGAAACTACCACTTTGGTAACTACAACCTCAAGCCAGCTTCCTGGACGAAAGAACTGCACGGAGCTGCTGATTCCTGACCTTGTTGCAGGATGGGTTCCACAACTCTTGATGTGAACCTTCACGCTTGGACAAGATTTCCAAAGCTAAAGCCGCGTGCCCCTAAGCCCTGCACCCTGTAGAGCCCTACAAACCCACGAGCCCTACCTGAACCCCCGAAAATGTGTAGAACAACGGCCTTTTGAACTCTTCGTAGGGGCTTCGGGCCACCATGTGAAAGACTTCCGTTTGACGTGCTGGTTGTCGCATATCTTATGCCCGAAGCCCTAAACACCCTCTTCAATGTCGCAGGATCAGTTGAGCCTTCCTCCGCGGACCCGATGCCCGTCCGCAGGGAGACGAGAGAAAACAATACTGGGGAATTTGTGGAACATATTGCGCTACAGAATCCTTAAGGGGGCTTAGGGTTTAGGGGCATACCTGAATAATCCCAATGTGTTCCTTACTCTCTTTCCCGCAAACTGTGGTCATCCCGCATTTCAGGTCAATGAACCATTCTGAATTGGTAGCCCCCCAAACCCATAGAAAAACGGAGCAGTGCCTCTTCTCTGGCAATGATGAGCGTGCAGCCTAATATGAGTTCCTCGAGAGTCCTTTAGTAAAAGCGGTTTTCCCAGTGAAAGGAGTTCTCCGGCCTTTTTGGGTCTTCCCCAACGGTAGCAGAAGCTCAGCCTTGGTTTAGGGCTTGCTAACGGTTTAGGGTTTAGGGTTTAGGGTTTACCATGCTAAAAGCTCTGTTGCTTGAAAGATCGTGACTACCAGTGATGGTACGAATCAAGACCGGAGGCCAACAAGCTTCTGTGCATGGGGGGTTGCTGTTGCTCGATAAATGTTCTTGGCACCTGAAGTTTCACGAGTTCACAAGACTGAAAAATCCATACACCGATATCCTCACCTAATTTTGGATCTCTTGATGCGTTTGGAAGCTGGAGAGCTACATTGCTGAGGAAATCTTCAGTCTTTGACGAGGATCATGAAGGCGGGGCTTCACTCACCAACTGCTTCTCGTGCAATGATTTTAAGGATGAGAGGAAGGTTACGTGCGAACAGGACTTTCGGGCAACTGTCTACTATCACCTTTTATCATCACAGATTCATGTTGTAAACCCTAAACCCTAAACAAGCGAACTGATTTCAGTTTTCAGGTCTAGAAAGCCGGGGTTTGCCGTCAGGAGGACCTGGAGAGAAACCAAAACTCCTCTGATGCCTTGGACTCGATCATGCTGGACTTGTCCTGGCCTTGGAAGCTCAGTTAGGGTTGAGGGCCTGAAGCCTAACCCCTGAGGCTTTAAAGTTTAGAGTTCATTTAGGGTTTGGGGCTGAGAAGGAGTTTGAATCCTAACGCCCAAACATACCTTCACCCTAAGCCCCTCAACACGAGATCCTATACACCCACCAACCCCTGCATTAGTCTATGCAGCCCTAGATGCAGTGAAGTCCCCTAGCCTATACGGGGTTATCACCAATCCATCCTAATACGGGTCCCTACAGTGGGGCTCCTATTACAAAACGGTTTCCCAGATGAAGTTCCCCAAATTCGAACACAGCAATATTAATTTCCCGCATTTCGCAAACAGCAACTTAGGCCAAGTCCAACATGAGTAGCATTTTATTTGATCATAACCTAGCCCCAATGTAGAGTAAGATCAAGCCTTCTTTGGGGGATGGTGCTTCACACTCTGAAGATAATACAATATTCGATCGTACTTGGTTCAACCACCAAAAAACGTCCTTGCGTGTTTTTAACCCCAAACCCAAAGCCGACCCCGAAACCATAAGCCTTAAACCAAAATTCTACGGCCTATAAACCCTAAACCCTACATGAGCCCCAAACTATGAACCGCAGAGGCCCGAGCCAACTCCTTACTCGCTGTCGCCTTCCGCGATGCAGGCTCCCGAGTTGGTGTTACTGTAGAAGCTTGAATACAAATTCCTTTAAAGGGGTCATTGGGGTTATATGGGGGTTATATAGGGATATGTAGGGTTTAGGGGTTTAGGGTTTTAGGGGTTAGGGTTTTAGGGTGTATGGGTTTTGGGTTAAGGGTCTGGGGTTTAAGGTTTAGGGTTTAATGTGCTACTGTCATGATTGCCCTTAATGATGAAGGGACCCTGAACAGTGGATAAAACAAATTACGAAGGAAATATTGATTGCAGCTCATTCATACATACATACATACATACATACATAGTTATATATACATATACGTATATGTATGTATACGTATAGGGTTTAGAGTGTCGGGTTTAGGTTATATATATATATATGTGTATATATGAACGTGTAGATTCTAAAATCCTCAGCATGCACACCTATCATGGGCTCCTGCCTGTTTCCTGCTTCCTACTTGATCTGGGTTGTAGGGCTTTAAATGTGCATGCTAGGTATACATGAACCCCAAGATTGAGGGCCCATACTGTGGGCCCAAAGTTCAAGCCTCACCTATCTGTACATATGTGTACACTGGAGCATGTGAGGATTGGAGGATCAAATGGGAATTGCAACGGAAAATTGGTTTTAAGGGGTTGTAAGACACATAGCCAAAGGATAATATACCCGAAGCCCTATTCTACTTCAATAAGTCTCTACAGCAGAGGCGTCCTGGGGGATAGTCTTATGACTACTACTTGCGTGCTGTGTAAACCCAAGCTTGGCAGCATGTCGTAGGTTTCTCCCAGAGAACGCTGGCGAACCTTAGATGGGGCTACAGAACCCTTGTAGACACCTTGCAAAGGCTTAGTCACCAAGATTCAGGGTTTGGGGTCTAGCGTCCCTAATCCTGTCAGCTCAGCTTGTAGAGTGCAGGAGCACGTGCGGAACAAGCAGAGATATAACAAGATGCTGAAGGACTCCTGTTGCAGAGGTTTTTGAGCTAGTGAAGTTTTCTGCTGCAGGAAAAAGGGAGTCTTGCCTTGTTGGGTCCCAGGGCTTGCAGAATTCCGGAAAAGTCGGAAAAGTGGGCTTCTCAGCGCCCAACCAGGATCACTGCGACCGGTTTGGGGTTGAGGGTTCCATTGGAGTTTGGATTTGTTGTCGGCCTTCAGCGATTAGGTTCTCCAAGGCTTCCCTGAACTAACTCTATTGCATATGAACTATAGTCTAAACTCCTTGCAGGGGTCCTTAGGGGACGATTATGCGGGTTATTAAGGGGATGCTAGGCATGTAGACTATAGTTGATATGTCCGTTTATAGTAGTCGCTCCAAAAGGTCAGCAGGCCTATAACCTTGGGTCCTAACCCTCAAGCCGAAAGTCTAAAGCAATGTCAGGCCGGTCCCACTTGTGGAGGGCGCGAAGCTGGGTTTGGGGCTTAGGAGACAAGTGAGGCCTTGCATAGCCCTTATACTGGGTTGCTGTCAAGGACCTTTAGTTAAGTAAAACAAATGGGGAAACCTCATCATTTGCCATACACCCATATTCTGGTAGCTTGGCTTAAGTTCCCTAACAACAACCCAGTATACACTTCCTAGTCTCCCGGTATAACCCCCAAATAAATCCCGCGCAAGCCTCATGTCAGGGTACCCCGCCTGAAAAATCCCCAAATGAAAATCTCTCCAATAGGTCGATTTTTTTTTATCAGCTCTTGATGAAAGTTATTTACATCCCCCAAGGGTCCAAGTACTCGAGTAGCAGATAATTCGAGTGAGCAGGGATTTGGAAACTGATAGAGCGAGCATTTTACTCTTGATATATTACAAAAACAGCTAGGCAAAAGCTTTGCTCAAATGCGTCCGGAACTTACACCCCAACCCTGAACGCCAAGTCCCTAAACCCTAATCTCTAGACCCTAATCCCTAAACCGACGATAGGCCTTAAACCCTAAACCCTAAACCCTATGTACCCCTACATAACCCCTATATCCCCCTTTACCCTAATCCCTAAACCCTAAACTGTAAATGCTTAAACCCTAATCCCTAAACCCGAATTCCTGAACCCCAAACCCATCCAGGAGTCGAGGCTGCGACGGAAGGCGAGGCAGCAGGAAGAGAAGAATCCGACAGAGCCGATTGCTCCTGGGCTTCAAAGGGGTTTTGGGCTTCAGGGTGTGTAGGGTTTAGGGGGGTTAGGGTTTAGGGGTTCAGGGTTGGGCTTGGGTGTTTTGGGTTTCAGGGTTTAGGGTTTAGGGTTTGAGTTTTTAGGGCTGGTCTTTGGGGTTTTGGGTTTGGGGTTAAGGGTTTGGGACTTAAGTGACTTAAGGTTTAGGGCGTGGGGTCTGGGGGTTTGGGTTAAGGGTGCAACTCGGCCGGGCCGATGGCAATACTGGCAATAACAGCTGCGCGAGTTCCGTTTTTAGAAGAGCAGAACAGAAGTAGGAGCAACAGTATGACTTTGGCTCAATAGACCCTACACCTAGGAGAAGGAGGAGACAACCCCTGGCTTGCAAACGAGACAGCCCCCTTGGACTTTGGGTTGAAGCTTTGATGTCGGGCGTTTGGCCATGGTATGATTACCCTCCCCACAACAGGCATGGAATCTCAGATGCAACTTCTTCAGGCCGCTTTGTAGGAGCCTCTGAGGGCCTGAGGGCTTTGGAGTTTTAGCCACCCCAAACCCTAACACACAAAACCCTAGACCCAAACATGCAGAACTCCAAGCTCCAACACGCATGTACACAAAATTCTCGAACCGCTAAACTGAAACGCACCAGCATGCAAGCCCAAATGCCTATATCTGTCTATTTTAGTAGATACTAAACCCTTTAAGGTATAGGGTTTCCCGTCGTAATCAGGCTGATCCCTTGGCCTTGAACTGCAAACCTCAAAGCTGTGATCCCTACCCTAATCTCTTAAAAACCCTTATTCTCAAGACCACCTTTTATTCCATCTACTTGACGCCCCTGTCAGCCTAGGACATCTTCTACGAAGACGATGTCAACATGGGGATGATGCCCGGGTCGGGCCTCAAGAGTCTGGCCCAAAGATCAAGGGTTAAGGGTTTAAGGTTTATAGGGTTTCAGGCATGAGGTTTAGGGAATTTAGGGTTTCAGGTGCAAGGATTTGTTTGCGCTAAGGTCTTGAGGTTCAAGATTTAAAGGTTTTTAGATGTAGGGTTTAGGATCTTGCCATGAGCCTTAGTGACACAACCTTCTGCAGGAACCCTTTCAAGAGGTTAGGGATACGTACGGCTTTGCGTGTAGGGGTATATTTAGGTATAAATATGCATACATATACACATATGTGTGTGTGTATATATCCTTAACCTCCCGAATTCTGAAACCGCAAGTCTGAGCCCGCCCCAACCCCTGAACTTTGGGTAATTCCCTCTTACAGTAACTTCCTAAACAAAGGGGCTTTATCAACAGAGTGCTTTTTTCCCCTTATTTCTTAGGGCTCAAGTATTTAGGGTCCAAGGTTTCGGGCTTCATCTGGTTCCTTTAAGGGCTTGATCGAGATAAAGAGGGATGTCTGTGTAGGGATATGTAAAGATATGTACGGGTTTAGGGTTTAGGGTTTAGGATATACTGCTCCTCATCGTGCAGTTCCTTTCTCGGACTAGGTACCTAACTTCAGAGAAATACCCTAGACCCTCAACTCTAAGAATTTAGGGTTTAGGGTTTGGGGTTTGGGGTTTAGGGTTTGGGGTGCAGGGTTTGGGGTTGCTGTTTGGGCCTAAACCCCCAGGTCCCCGGTACAACGTGGATGACATCCCCGTCGACCGGCTGCACCTGGAGCGCGCGCTGGATGACGACAGCGCCGCCAGGGGAGTGACGGGCCACAGAGCCTTGGTTTCAAAGAAGTTTAGGGTTTGTTTAGGGTTATTAGGGGTTTGAGGTGAATTATTTAGGGTTGAGAGTTATTCAGGATTTTGTGGCTTTAGGGTTCTTAACGGTTTGGCATCTAGGGTTTTAAGTTTCAGGTTTTACGGTTTTGGGGTGTAGGTGTCAGTTTTTTTTCGGCTTGCGCTGTAGGGTCTAGGGTTTAGGGTTTGGGACTACCATGGCCCCTTTAGTAAGCCCTACCAGTTTCTTTTTGATCCCTAAGAAGGCTCATTTGGTGGGAGCCCATAGCAGCAAGATGATGCTTTGCATGAGCCCGTTTGAGGCTTAGGGTCCAGGTGTGGAGCTGAATAGTAGTTTCTATTTTCCTTTCCATTATCCCAATATAGCCCCAATGCAACACTAATATTACCCCTAAATAACCCCTCTGTATAATCTGGTTTGAATTTTATAGAGTTTCTTGTTGGTGCTTGGTAGGAAGAAGGGAATATAATCCCTACAGAAGCCCCATGAAATACATTCGCCCATTTCATACCAACCACGAGTAACGAGTATGGTCCAGGGGGATGAGGGTTTTGGGTGAGGATCTGGGTAGGCCCCTGGGATATTTTCCTTAATTGCTTTAATAGGGGACCCTATATATAAATATGTTCAAAGGGTTTTAGGGGCCAACCCAGGGATGTGGAAGTGTGGCTGGAGTTGGTGGGGAGGGTTTAGGGTTTAGGGTCTGGGGGGGGGGGGGNNGGCAAGGGTTGTGGTTGTTTTGACTGGGGCATCAGGCCACTATACTGTACCTCAAAAAAGTGTTAGGCAGAGACGCGGAAGGAAATGATCATGCTATGGAGGAGCTGCTATTCTGAAGTTTTTCTTTTACCGGCTATTTGGGCTCGTCGTCTGCAGCATTTGGTAATTAAACGTGCTCATGGTTCTTGCACCAGCAGCACAGCAACCTGGCAAGGATACATGCACGATGAGAACAAGCTCATCAAAAAGAAGTACAAGGCGCACAAGCCAGCCGAAACCTTCAATTTATGGTCCGTTTCTGCAGTCTCCATGTCAGTAGAATCCTTACTGTATTAGCGCAGGGCACTTCCGAGAAGGCCTATAAGCCAAGCCCTGAACTTTTGGCTGGAAGCCGGTGTTCACTGCGGTTTCGGGTGTAGAGTTGCCTGAATGAAGACCAATCTTCGAATAGTCTATATTGGAAAACTTGCAGAAACTAACAAGGAGAAGGAATTGGATTTTCCCTATTGGGGGTTATAGGAAGGATCAGCAATATGATGATCCCAGATTATCTTCACACTCAGGGTTCAGGGTACCCCAGGCACACCTTGAAGTTATGTTCACAATTGAGGAATGAATTTATACAACTAATACCTACATTGGGCCCAACGGTCTGTAAAACTTACCTACATTGGGTTGTTTGGATCCCTGGGGCTATAGTACGGCAGAAGCCTAGGTGATCAACAGCGCTACTCCTGGTGATGTGCACCTGTTGCATCATACTCTTCACCAGAATGTTATGACATGGTAGTTGCGTAAATGATTCCTATTATGGGAACCTTCAAAATGCTGCCCGGCCCTCAAAATTTTGGAAGCCCCCCAAATTGTAGCACAGTGCTTGACACACATTTCCTTGTCTAACCCTAGATCCATCAGGACATATAGAATCCCAAACCATAGCCTTTCTAAAGGTACCATGAGCCCTTAAATCCTAAGCGCCACGCCCTGAATCCTGAACCCTATAAACACTATGAACCCTATGAACTCTACATATCCAACAAGCTCTAAACCCTAAGTTCTACAGGTCCTGACCTAAACCCTAAAACCTACCTATTATACCTAACAGCTTAATAACCTTAGTTGGCAAGGCCAAACAGTGCCAACCTTTTGGGCCTCTAAAGGTTAATGACCTTGGGCCTCTAAAGGTAGGGTTAGTCAGTTAGGGTTTTGGGTAATGTTGTGGCTTTCCGGGTTATGCAGCAACTGTATGGTGGAAGGGCGTGAGTTGCATGAATTGAAAGATATTGAAGGTGATACATGTTCTTAATGTACTGGGGCCCAGTGGGCGGGTGGGTATTTTTCTATGATTTAAGACAACTGCTCCTGGAATGAATGCTTGGACTTGGGATGCTGAACCCTAAACCCTAAACCCCTACACCGCAAAAACCCGGAAGCCCAAAGCGTTGCCAGGCTGGGCCGACCACCCAGGCCGAGGTCCGCGAGTGCTCAGCTAGCCGGGAGCCCGAGGGTTTGGGTTCAGGGTTTAGGGGTTCTATAGGGTTTAGGGTTTTTGGGTTTTAAGGTTCAGGGTTTGGGATATAGGTTACATTGACCCCCCACCCAGTAACAGTGCCTTTCAGGGATATTGGTCCTCTTACATTCCTATCATAAGTGCGGTACAGGGGTTCCGTAGGGTCTGTAGTGTTAGGGTTTAGGATCACTTCAAGGGGTTGTAAAGGGGATATCTGAGTGTTTCTCAAGATCATGGCGTATCTTTTTTGGGAGTCCCGTCAGCAAGCAGCATAACTTTTGATATGTTGGGGTCTATTTTTGGAAACATTGCCTTTCAGGGGCTCTACTGGGATTGTCCGGTGGATTTACTGAGCTGTACAGTTCAGGGCTTCTGGTATAGAAGGCCACGGGCTTGGGACGAGTCAAGGGCTTGCAATCTAGGAGGTTGGGGGCTTTGGACCTGGCGTTTGGGGCTTTGGATTCAGAGTTTAGGGGCTTAGGGTTCAGGATGTACAGCGCTGTGGGTGTGTTTGTGTTGAGCGTTTACGCGGAAGAGGTTGGGCTTCATCCACATGTAACTCAAGTTGTTGCATCTGTTTTTGGCGGCTAATAATGGCAAGAATAATACTAATAACGAAGGGACCATGCATAAATGCAAAACAAGGAGGCGTAGAAGCTGGGTTTAGGGCTTGGGCATCATAAACCCTATTAAGCAAACCCTAAACCACCATTGATGGGTACGTTATATATATATACATATCAATATATATATATATATGTATGTATAACCTCAGTGTCCCTTAGATTTTCCGTTTCTGCTCCCTTTGATTCTTCGCTTCTGGGAAGATATTCTTATGTAAGCCTGAGCAATCCCAACATGATCCTATATATCCTTAAGCCCTTAGCTTTACACCCTAAACCTTGAATCCTAAATCCTAAACCCTAAATCCTAGATCTTGGACTCCTGGTCCCTGCATCCTAGACCCTAAACCTCACATGAGTAGACTTTTTATTTAGGGGATACTATGGTACCCATTATAGAGTAAGATTAGATCCTCCTTTTGGGTATAGTATCTTATATAAGGAATATTATCTTACTAGGTTCAACCACCAAGAGACACTACTCACATGTCCCTACATGACGGACACCTTACGGAACTAGGCCTCGAGAATTGGCAGCTGGGGCTCATCTCCGTGGGTCCTGGGGACCTGTCCTCAGTGCATGCTTCGGTGGTTCAGGATTTGAGGTTTAAGGTTTAAGGGTTATATAGGGATTGTATAGGGTTTAGGGTTTAAGGGGTTTAGGGTTTAGGATTTACATTACGTCTTATTGTTTTGAGTTTAAGCTTCACGGGTCATGCAGTGTTTAGGGCTAACATGAATCCCGGAACGATTGCACTCGAAGGCTATCAGGAGGGACCCCTATATAGAGGACCGTGGTGGCGAGTGTGGTTTAAACAGCGTTGGGGATGTATCTTGCTATCGTTCTAAACAGGTTGTAATTGGAGATCCTGACTGTTGAGGCTCTACAGTAAACCCTGAATCCTAAGCCTGACGCTCCTCAACCCAAAAGCATGACTCAGGTCTTAGACTTCGGGAACGTCTATGTGAAGTCCACTGTAGTGAAGTCCTTCTCGGTCTTCAATGACTTGCCGCAGGCGCGCTGCGGCTGCCACTGTTCATGGCAAGCGTCCTGCGTAAGCCAATGCGACTATTATTACAATATCTCACGACCGTCAGTGCACACTAAACCTTATGAGGGTCCCTAATGTGGAGAAATGCGTATGTGGGAGAGGCGATCCTGGTCGCAATGCAGTACGACGCCGAGGAACTTAGCCGATCGACTCCAACATCGCAGGCAATGCCTGAGCGCAGTTCACAAAGATTGTTCAAGGTTGTGGGCCGGAGACTTGCAACTGAAGCCTGGTGCTCTTGGTTTAGGTGTTCTTCGTGCTCAAAGGATCCATGTAGGTATATGGTATTTACTACCTGGACCCTTTTTTGTGTTTATCATTAGCCATTGTCCTCCTCAGTTTCTACTGTAGCCATAGTTCCGCTTCAGCCAGGGAGGCTGGAGCATATCATGTAGAAGCCGCAAGACCCAGAAGAACCAGTACCCTCAATCCCAAATCTCGCCTAATATCCCTAAATAACCCCAATATAATATATATGTATACATATAATGCCTATACTATAGTAGTTTCCATTTTCTTTCCTCTTACCTAAAACATCCCCAAAAATATCTGCAGTGTTTGAGGCTGCTCGAGAGCCCGAATATTACTGTAGCTGTTAATATTGGGATGATGGAAAAGAAAATGTAAACTACCATAATGGGTTTAGGGTGTAGGTTTAGGGTATTTTGGACTATAATGGGTTGTATAGGGGTTTTATAGGGGCATATGGATTATATAGGGATTATATTGGGATGATGGAAAAGAAAATGGAAACTACCGTAGTTGTAGGGGTTATATTGGGGTAATATGGGAATATTGGAAAAGCAAATGGAAACTACTACGTTGCTTGTTCCCACTGACTAGAATTCAGACACAGATTCCCCGCAGGTGGTTCCTTCGGCCCATGCTGCCGGCTTCGACGTATCCGTGTGCTCCGCCGTGCCGCAGACGTTCCAGCGACAGGCATGTCGGGGGTTTTGTTGCGTTCTCAACCAGGCAACCCAGATGTGAGCTACAGTCTAACCTCCTAGTATCCTGCTTAGTAATTCTAAACCCTACAGTAAACCAAAAGCACTATAGTCCCGTATATAATCCCATCTATAACCCCCTTTAAGGAGATTATTGCTCACGCTTGGCATGTCTCAGCCAGCATGTGGGTTGGACGTCCATGTCCTATAGAACCCCTATATAATCCCTATAGGTATACTATAATATAGTAGTCCGCATTTTCTTTCCCGTCACCCCAATACAACCCCTATATAACCCCTAGATAGTCCCTATAAGTTCCTTACGTCCCTGGGCTTGCCAAATACCCGGTTCTCTTGGACCGACCCAGTCAGACCCATATAACCCCTATGATGATATAGTAGTTTCCACTTTCTTTTCCATTCTCCCCATATAACCCTAAACCCCAAAAAATAGTAGTCTCCATGTTTTTTTCCCCCAGCGCAGCCTGCCGTAGGTGGTATACACGATCAACGGCATCCATCCCTATAAGCTGCTGCTCAAGGTGCAGCGTTCCGAAAAGGGTTGAGGGTTTAGGGTTTAGGGTTCTATAGGGGCTATATAGGGAGAATGGATGGGGTTTTGGGTATATAGGGATTAGGGTTTAGGGGGGGTTGGGGTATATAGGGTTCTATGGGGATTGTATAGGTTTAATGGAAAAGAAAATGGAAACTACTAAGCTGGGTTGGCAAGGCTTCAGATAACGGGTTTTGGGCTTCTTCTAGCGGTGTCTTGAAAAGCTTTTGCTTGCCTATACCAGTATTCGACAGCAGGCAGCATAAAACTTTAGGTCTTGCCGCTTGCTTGAGTTCCGGGGCATGTAGAGTGATCGTTTCCCTGTTGATATGTGTCTCTCTGGCTACTTGAGTTTCCCCCAAAAAACTACATGATCTCTACATGTCCCTGGGGTACCTAAGAGCCCTCTGTTTTGAGAACAGTAAAAAAAGTAGTAATAGCAAGAATGATTACAATAGTAGTAGTAATAGTACTAGCAATATTAATAGCAATAGTACTAGTACTAGTAGTAATAGTAATAGAGTAATAGTTGTTATAATAACAGATCCTGTTCATCCCTAAACCCTAAACTCTAAACCCTAAACCGAGGCGACAATCACTCCGGTCCAGATCAGAATGTCCAGGGCAGACATCAACTTCCGCTTCGGAGAGGACTCGGCCGCAGCTACGCTTTTGGGGTTTAGAAGGGTTTAGGGTCTTAGAGTTTAGGGTCTTAGGGTTTAGGGCTTTGGGTTTGGGGTTTAGAGTTTAGGATCTAAGAGTTTATAGGGTCTTAAAATTCCAGGCTTAGAGTTTAGGGTTTAGGGTCTAGCTTTATGGACAAAATCCTGTGTGAGCCTACTTCAGGGCTCCCGTTTAGTTACTTGCCGGGTTTTGCAGTTTTCGGTCAGTGGGTTTGAAGAGATTATCTGTAAAAGAGCTACACAGAAGGCCTTGGGTAAGTACGTCATCCCCCTGTGCCACGGGTCCCAGGTGTAAGGGTCATGCAGGATGTTAGGGTTTAGGGTTAAGGGCAGGTCTAGGACAGTTTGTTTTGATGTTCATACCCTAAACCCGAAACCTAAACCCCAATAACCCTAAACCCTAAACCCAATAAAGCCCTAAACCCTAGGGTATACTACAGTTCATCAGGACTGCCAGAAGACATCGTCTTTGATCGCTCAGGTTTCCATGTCGTGAGATGAAAGCCATATTCGAACCACATTGGTTAGTTGCCATGAAAAGGGGACCCCCCTCAAAAGGACCCCAGCATAGAATCCTCGTTATACAGACTCCCAACAACGGAAACCCCAAATGTAAGAGCAGTGTTCAAAATGCCGCGCAGGACAGCTTGGACAAGACGCTGACAGAGAAGCCGCTTGGTTCGGAAGAAAAGGTAAATTTCATCAGGGCTGCACTGGCTGCTTCCCGGCCCTATAACGCAAACGTACTTACATGTTTTTGATGCCTGTTTTATCTGCCTACACACCCGGAGCATGTCTATCTTTACAATACCGTTCAGCGTTGTTGCCATGTGCAAGCCCGACAATCGCCCCCAAACCCTAAACCCAAAACCGCGCAAAAGCCTTCTGGCCTGCGGCCAAAGCCTGAGCAGCCTTTATCCCCAAATCCGAATTGCCACACCCTCTGCCCTGATCCCAACCCTAATCCCAAGCTGTTTCCAAGGCTGGTGCTTGACAACCCTGGAAATGCTCCGGCCAAGTTCAGCCTCTCGGCAGGGTTTCGAGGGGGCCGAAAGGCGATTTAGGGTTAAGGGTTTAGGGTTTGAAGTCATTTAAGGTTATCTCTGTGTCAGTTATTGCTGTGACGCTTGGTGCTTTTCTTCCTGTTCTCATTGCGGTTCCTGAGCATGATGGCATCATATTATAACTGCTTTCATGCCAAATTTGGTGCTGTGCTCCCTTACATATCAACACCCAAACCGTACTTTCCAACAAGGACCAATATCTGAGCTATAGTCTACACTCCTTAAAAGGGGGGTTATATAGTGGATTATATAGGGGACTACTATAGGACTTATTAATGGGGATACTAGGAGTTTAGACTATAGCTCATATAGACCCAGCTCTTCTTCTTATTGCTTTTGTCAATCCTCGACTTGAGGCACTCTTACCATGTCAGGGCTTCAACGCGGGGACCCGCAATTCTGATAAATGCCTGACGTCCAACAGCTTACAAGAACATACCCTCTAATAATCCATAAGCAGCTGTGCTAAAGAGACCCCAAGGCCCTAAACGTTGCAATATATCGCCATAACATCTTTATATAGATAACTAACTAAATAAATATGAATATATATATATGTATATATACATATATCATAGAACCCGATACATTGAAAGAACTTGAGGCTGGCAAGGCGCCAATGCGTCCTTCTCCGTGTCGCCTGTGAGCGGGGTCATCCCTCGTGGCGGTTCTCAGGGGATCGAGGCACCCCGGAAGATCGACGTTATATGGGCTGTATGTTGGGTTTGGGGTTTGGGGTTCAGGGTTCAGGGTTCCAGGATACACGGGGATGTATATATTAGGGTCAGGGTTTAGGGGCACATGGCCGTATGATTCGGGTCATTCCCCCTTACAGCAAGTGTCGTTAACAGAGTCTTACTAAGGGGTTATTATAACTCCTATTAACTCTTGTTGTGGAAATTGTTCGTATAAGGGGGAATGACCTAAGGTGTGGGGGTGTTGGGTTTTTGGGCTTTTTTTTTGGAAAGGATCGTGTTTGGACTTGCGGAAGTTTGGAGGCCCTGAGCTGCTCTATGTACTATGACACGTCTGCTGTGCTGCTCAAGATGGCGTTGGCAGTTGTTTTGCCTCAGGTCTTTGTTCAAGTTGTTTGGATCTGTATAAATCCCGCACCTACCTGGGCGGGCCTCCAAGGAAGGAACAAAATTTGCCCCATAACACCCTATGATAGTTCGAAAGGCAATTGCTCTGCATATTTTGGGGGTCCAGGCTCCCCTTACAACGCCCGAGCCCTCAATTCCAAACTCTCGCAATTTCAAGTCCCGTGATCTCCTTGAAGACCCTAAGCTTCACTGCACCCCGATCTAGGGTTTAGGGTTGGCAGGATCGGAAAATGTCGCTCCTGCATGGCAATCCTTGGACCTGTTGTTATCCTTCCCTACTCACAGTCCTAGGAGTTCACTGTTCAGTTCCTTTTCTCTTAAATCCAAAACTCTAAGCAGCGCCCGTGAAGCCTCAAAGCATCAAGTTCAGCCCCTGGACCCTAAACCCTCCACGCCCTAACTTGGGGTTTCCTGAATTGGGGGTACTGTTTTTGGGGTCCCTATACAGTAAGGCTTGTAGTATCCGGGGGTCTATATTGGTGTCCCCCCGTTTATGGAAACTAGACCAAAATTTTGCGCCCTAAGCCCTTGATTCTAAAATCTAACCCCTGAACCCTCAACCCTCGGGGAGCCAATGTGAGGTTACCTTCACCCCACCCAACAGCGGCCAGCTGATCGAAGGGTTCTTGACCCTGAAGGCCTCCCTGCCCACTGTAACTTTGAGAGCCATTCTCGGGGGCTTTCAGGGCATTCAGGGTTGTAGGTGGTGTAGGGTTCAGGTTGGAGGGTTGAGGCTCAATTCTCACAAGGAGGATAGAGAAAACCTTGCGCCACCTAACCTCAACAAATAAGAATCCCGCCCTTAACCTGAGCAGAAACCAGGCATTGGGCGATTTAGGGGTTCATTGTCGGGCTCATTGCGGGGGGTCCTAGTGTTGAGCTTGTTTTAAATGTGGGTTTTGCAGGGTTCAAGGCCTCGGGTTGAGGGATTATGGCCTGGGGTCTGCATGGGGCTTCGGCTTTTGTTGGAACAAGGCGGATGAGGCCTTCTGGAGGCCCGAGGCCTGAGATGCTTCCTGGAAAGGTTGGTATGGGGGCCTGGTAGTCCCGAGATTTGCATAGAGGTTGGGGCATTAAGCCATTGCCCGAACCCCAGGTATGCAGCATGATGGCCTGCGCGATAGTATCCTGAGTGAGGTCCAAGGTACTCGTAAGGAGAACAGCTTGGGGCTTGGAAGCTTCAGATTCAGGCGTTAGGATCCCTAGTACGTTCAGCTTCCCATCCAGGTGGAGGACGGGAACGACCACAGCCTGCGGTGTGTGGGCCAGGCACCCGAGGCTACCCTCAACTTTGGGGTGAAGAGGCCGGGTTGTTTAGGGTTTAGAGTTTAGGGTTGGGGTTTAGGGTTTAGGGTTGGGTTTTAGGGGTTGGGGTCTAGGGTTAGGGTTTAAGAAGGGTTCAGGACTTAGGGTCTACCTGGCGACCTCACGCAATCCGTCATACTTGTCCCCCCACTTTGTTGGCGGGTAAGCTAATCTTCTACAAAAGACTGGACCCCAAGGTCTAAATTCTCGGAAGCCTAGACCGTCCCAAAACCCCAAATCCCTACATCCTGAACCGCTACGCCCCCGGGCCCCAGCCCCGAATCTTCCAAATCCTCGCCTCCTGTAGACCCTATAAACCCTACACCTTGACCCCTCAAAACCAACCCTGTTCACCAGAAACCTAACCCCTATTAACCCTAAACCCTTAAGAACCCTAATACACCCTATTGACACTAAATCCCCCAAGAAGCCCCCAAATTACAACAGGTTAGACCTGGGTGTTTTGGCTGTGGGGCTCCCGGCCGACCGCTCCATTCCCATCGTCAATGGCCCTTCGGCTGCCAGTTTGAGGGATTTTGTAGACTTGACGGGGATTCTACACGAATCATTCAGGGGTTTTGGCCGGGGCTTTAGGTTTGCTTGGGGTCCGCGGGCAGTTTCTTGCGGTCTATGGGTTTACATCTTATGGGCTTTGAACGGTTTTGGGCCTTTTGACAGGGACCCACAGAACCTTCAGGCATACGTCCCACTCGGTGATGTCTAGTGGTTTTTCTTCGTTGCTGTTTCCAAACTCAGGCAAGACCCTGCAAGTGTAGCATATTCCGTACCTCTTGGGCCGTGAATTCATCCATGGGTTACACCTTCTCACTCCTTCGAAGATTCGCCAATGCTGCCTTGGATCTGCGATCAGAGTGCGAACGCAACCTAGATACCACAAAAGCATGCCAACTCAGACTAGCAAGATATTCCACTTCGTAGAATCTGCAGACCCTAGGTGGCAGCTGAAAACTATATAGCCATGGAAAAGCAATACTCAGGCGGCAAAACTGTGGCGGTCTACCACGTGGACAGCAGCTGGGCCGAATGCGGAGTAATTAGGGCTTTCATTGCAAGACTTGGCATTTTGACGTACACTGGTCGCAAATTGATTCATACCTGGAGGGCTCAAGTACCCAAATATCATGACTTGGGGTCCCAAATACCATTCAGATTATAGTATTTGGGCCCGAAAACCCGAAAACCCACATTATTTGAGTCCTTGGACCCTTAGGGATAGAGTATTATCGTTCACATTATGTCCAGAACTTTGATCCCAAAGTCCCATGGCATCCCCAAAGCCAGGCATTCCGCATGAAGTAGGGCTCCCTGACATGCGCTGAAATAGCAGGTTGGAGAGCAGGGCTTACTTATTCTGGATCCTAAGCCCTAAGCTCTAAACCCAAACCCGAAAGCCCTACAGCCTAACCCCCAAACCCTAGAGCCTAAAACCCTAAAGCCCAGGTGTCCCGGACGGTGTGGGGATCTCCCCCATGCGTGGACGGGTCTCCCCCGAGGGCCGGGCTGAACTCATCGACGTGCACGTACTCCTGGACAGGCCAGCAGCCTTCCCAAAATTACTTGTAGGGTTTAGGGTGCAGGTGTTTAGGGGTTTAGGCTTAGGGTTTAGGGGTTAGGGTTGGGGCATGAAAAAGGGGCGATAGTTATGAGCAAAATCAAGTAGTAGGCAACGCGTGATTTGTCCAAGAGCTTTCCCCTTGCATTGGGTAGAGTCACCCTCCTCAATCTCTGACTATATTTGACTTGATTTGCAGAGATTACAGAAGAGAGCGGAGGTTGCTGTCTAAAGGCCTCAGAGTTTATGGCTACATCTTGGGCACCTTGTCGCGCAGTCCCACACGCTCTGTGTTGCAAAGCTGGGCCCTTGAATGTCTTGGCCTCTGAGCGACCCCTGCCGTGGAGAAGCAAAGCCCTTTTGTAGAGCCCTAAACCCTTTGAATCCCAAAGCCCTACTAACCCTTAAAACCCTAAACCCTAAGACCCTAAACCCTAAAACCCTATAACCCTAGATGGCAGGCCGATGCAGCTTGAGTCTGCAGTGACCTTGAATGTGCGCGGAGGCATGGCGCTCGTGTTCCGTCCTCCAAGCCGCTCACACCCTGTACCCAAGCCGTCTCAAGGTGGTAAACGGTGCCTGAACTTGTGGTCATGTTTGGGGTTCAGGATTTTAGGGTTCAGGGTCGAGGTGGCATAGACTCAACTTGCGGCCATATAAACCAAAAACATGCGGATTTCGAGCCAAGAGATCCACTAACTAAAAGATTACCTGCTCACAGCCCTAGACACATCTTCCACGCTGATCGTGTGCTGGATGCAGGCAAGCCCATCCGCCTGCCAATCATGGCCACAGCGGTGAACCCCAACATCGAGTTCATTGAGGATCCCATGATTGCCCTAAACCCTGACCAGCTCTGAACCGTGTAAGGAGAATAAGGGGGGGCTAACGTTGAGGCCATGGAGCCTGGCATGCGCACCCGAATATTTGTGCAATACTGCCTCATAGTCATTCTTGGTTTGAAGGAAGCTCTACTGACTGTTGCAGTACGGCAACTCAGGCTACATGGGCCTGTTACAATCTTAGCTACTAAGCAGACATTTAGCGTTTTTGGGAGTTTGATTTGCGCAAACTAGCAATAATTGAGACCTGGGGCTTGAGATGTTGAAGACTTTCTAGAAAGAGCAGGGTCCGCACCTGAGCCCTGACATGTGGGAGTTTGTCAGGGTCATCCCCTTCTCTTCCAGATGTCCTTACCCTGCCCAAACTAACATGATCCGCTCTCAGGAGGACACTACCTGGACCCTCCAACGTACTACCTTTTTGGTAGTCCTAACCAAAAAACCCTACCAAACACAGAAAGAAATTGCTTTGGAGGGTCCAGGTAGTCAATACGAGGGTCAGTGTGTTAATCGGGTTAAGGGCTTGGGCAGAGAGCAGTGCCATTTGCCAGGCCTTGAGGGTAAAGGGCTTAGACCCAGAAATCGTGAAGTGCAGCGCCCCACACCGCACACGCCAATTCCTCAGCCCCAAGTGCGATAAAAGAACTTTCCTGTATGACAGCGAAATTCCTGGGAAAAGTTTTTTCTAGCAAAAACATCTGTTTTGTTCATAATCCTTCTATTCCCTATAAAGCCATAAGCATTTAAGTCTTATAGGGTCCCTCAATCTCTCCCGGATGACAGGATGAGATTGAGTTTGGCCAGCTCACTCTGGGGGCACAAGGCTGAATGTAATTGGGGCGGGGGATTCATGGGGTTAAGGGGGTTTAGGGTTTAGGGATTCAGGATTCTGGTGGCCTTGTGTGGCGGAGGGTGTCAGGACTTGTATTTTTTTTTGGGACCGGTCGGGTAAGTTGTACTTTTTCGCCTGTCCGTAGGTCCTATAATCACAGATAACAACGGTGTTTGGTAATATAGCTGCATAATTCAAGGCTTAAGGCGGTGCCGGGGGCTACTGTACGCAAGGATCACTTTTGCCCTGCACTTTTAGGTGCAAGTTTTCTTGACCCCAAACCCTCAAACCTTAAAAGCCTAAATCCTCAACTTTCTTAACCCCTAAACCCTAAAACCCGAAACCCGTAAACTTTCTCAACACCCAAAACCCCAGCAGAATCTTTTTTTGCCTGACATGAAAGGGTCGCAAGCTACTGCGGAGGCCTTCAGGGTTGCTTTCTGGAGGTGATGATATGAAAAGAGTTTAAGTTAGGTTGAGTGGGGGTTCCCCCAGACTAGTTGTACCTCTTCAAGATATTTATAAAGGTGTCATAGGGGTTTTATAAGGTTTAGGGATCAGGGTTTACCACAATTAGGGGTACCGTTTTGGGGGTTTCTATAATCAGGATTATAGTATTGGGGTGTGTGTTTATATTGGGGTCTCCTATTTGTAGGCTTTGGGCTTCAGTATTTCAAGTTTACATGTATAGCGGAAAAGGCATGTAGGGATATACGGGTGACCAAAACAGTTCCCGCAACAACATGAGCGGCAACAAATCAATCACTGTTGCTGTGTTCAAACTGTCGACCCCAATATACTATAGTGCGTTTTATTTTGGGGACCCCCTCCAAAAAGTTATCCCAACATAGGAAACCATGATGTCTCCAATTCGCAACAGGTGGCAGAGGGAACCTGCTCCAGCCTCGCCAAAGTTACTCCCATAGATCCGATTTCAGGCTTTGGGGTTTCAACCTCAAGCCCTGAGTCCCAAACCCATGATATTTCCTCAAACCAGAACCCTAAACCCTAAACCCTAAACCTAGACCCTAGAAAAATGAGATCCCTGAACCCTAAATCCTAAACCTAAACCCTAAACCATGTGTTCTCTTCTCTAAGCAGGTGTGGTGCCCATCTCCCTGAAGAATTCCTCCGCCGTAGAGGGAACGCTCTATGCCGCGAGCTTATGGCGGGGCGTCATAGAGCGCTAAATGCAGAATGTCTGAATTCGTAGAGGAGGTTGCTAATGAATATTTCTATAGAGGTTCTTTGTGTAGGCACCAAAGTGCCTAACGCTATAATCCTGAATCATAATAGGGACTCCAAACAAACGGTTCCGGATCTTTGGAAACTCCCATCTGGTGTATATAATCTTCAAGCCTGAATAAAGAGTATGCCCAACAATTCATTTTGTACTGAGAGTATAAGGAGCCCCAAAAACCTTTCTGGGTACTGTAGGACTTCAGACTGCACTTCAAGCCGCAGGTGCATATGCCCAGGGTCTCCGATAGAGATCATGTAGGGCGCAAGTGTCACAAAACTAGCTAAGCTATGAACCCCGTCCTCAGTTCCTCTTGCCAGTGCTTAAATTACACAGCTTGTATTGCATTTTTCGCAGCATGCAAGTTGGCAACACCCTAAACCCTTCATCCCCCCTGCCCCCAAAAACCTTCATACTACAACATTACATACCCCTCCAACCCAAAATATTCCATATCCCCCATAAGAGTCCGTATAATTCCGTATATAGGGGGACACACTCAATTTTAGGCGGAAAAGGGTGGTTTTCACGCTATTATCCAGGGGTTCGCTTTAGCCAAGGCCCCCAAGTAACCCTAACCTGTAAACTCCAAACCCTAAATCCTGTAAACTCTAAACCCCACACGCTAAACTCTGAACTCTAAACCCTAAACCCTAAACTCTACATTCCAAACCCCGAACCCTAAATTTGTTGAGCCGCCGAGGTGAATCTGCAGCCCTACCCGGAGTTCAGCCTTTCGCTATGCGAGGAGCGACCAGAGGCAGGTGACAGGGTTCCAGGGTTGAAGGTTAAGGGGATTAAGGGTTATTCTTCTGTGTAGGAATTAGGGCTTTAGGCTTTAAGAGACTCCAAGGCTTAGGAGTTTGGGGGTCAGGGCCTTTCAGGGTCTAGGGTTTATAGGGGATGTGACAGTGATTTTCTGGGGGCCCTTCTATTGTGACTGTTACAGGGATCCATTGCTTCATTCCCAACTAAGCCCTAACCCTAAACCCTAAACCCTAGAGCAGGCAGTGTGGAGGTAGAGCCGTGAGCTTCGCTACGATCACTTCTATCAAGTTCGTTCTGTTAAGGGAACTTTAAAGGGACTCTACTGGGAACCCCAAATAGGGAACCCCAAGAATATAGCAGGAATATAATGGAATATAAGGACCCTGGTAGGTATATTCCTATTATGTACCTACTATATTCTTGGGGTTCCCTATTTGGGGTTCCCAGTAGAGTCCCTTTAATCTTTAGGCTCTCAGCCAAGGCCCGGACCCTGTAAACCTCGAACACAGTTTAGGGCGTAAGCCTTCCTAGGCCTTAAC